CAGTACGATAAAGGCCGAACGAACACCCGCAATCTGATCATGGAGTCGCAAATGTTGGGATACACGTGCTGTATCACACGCTTGCGCGCATCTGTTTTTCACTCATCTGTTTACCCACCGTTACACCCAAGCTGGCTATTCAAGCCCTCCCTGGTCGTCCTCCTTCCCCTCCGTCTCTTCCTGCTCACCCCCCCTCTCTTGTCTCGCTGCAGTGGAACATGTTGGGAATGATGGCTCATCAGTGTGATGTGTTCATCCTCCTCACGCTTCTCGTCCGGCTGTCGCTAAAAAGACCCAGCCACTCTTCGGAGCGAAGCGGCGGGACTCGCAAGAATGAGTCCGGCGTCAGCCATGTTTCCGAAGGGTGATGGTCACGCGAGCCCGCGCGAGTACCACATGCTTGAAGCCACGGCCTCCGCACCATGCCCTGAACGGGGCACCGGCGGGCCCCCTCGTGGAGCGCGCACGACTGTGGCCTTAGCTTCGATTTCGCTTCACTCCTCATCTTCTCCCCCTCGTGGTTGTCGTCCGCCTCCCTCTTCATCATCCACCTTCTCCTCGCCGGCCCGCCCTTCGATCTGTTCGAATGGTCGGCCCTCCAGACGCACAGGAAGCATAAGCTGCGCATCCTGTCCGTCTTGGCGTGTCGGGCGGGGGGGGGTCTCGACGGCGTGATCCTGTTCACAGCGTGGGCCCGACGAGCCCCCGACCCTGCCCCTGGAGCTGGCTCTTCGCCGCAGGCCAATACCTGATGGCCTTGAAGACCGACGCGCGAGCCCCTCGAGGTCGAAGCAGGTGAAAGGATGCTTCCGACGTGGTTCTTCTGCGCGACGCCCGGCAAAAGGACGCCTCCAGGAAAAGGGGTTGTTCACCGGGTAAAGACATTCAGATCCAGGCGGGACAATCTTTTCATACCGGGCGTCACCCGCTGGTTTCGGGCCCTGGGACCTTCACAGATCGATGCGCTTCGAAATATGCCGCAGAAAGACGGGGTCTATGGCTATGGGCGTTCTTTTGGTCGCGTTGCTGCAGCGTTTTTGCAACGTCGGATCTCGGGGGAGTTCGTTCCTCAGGCTGGGGTTTAAGATGCAGCTGGGAGTCCCGATGGATCCCGAGGGCTTCTTAGGAATCCGCGGGGCCCCTCACGAGACTCTTCAGGGCCCCTCCTCGGGAACCCTCCACGTGGAGTGCGAACACTCCGCCCGGAAAGCGAGGAACCCCCCGTTCCAGCTCCTCCTCCTCCTCCTCCTCCTCCTCCTCCTCCTCCTCCTCCTCCTCCTCCTCCTCCTCCTCCCCGCGCCTCCCCGCGCCTCCCCGCTCCTCCTCCTCCTCCTCCTCCTCCTCATCATCATCATCATCATCAGCATCATCATCATCATCATCATCATCAGCATCATCCTCATTCTCATCCTCATCCTCATCCTCATCCTCATCCTCCTCATCCTCCCTCGTCCTCCTCCTCCTCCTCCTCCTCCTCCTCCTCCTGCACAGGGATCAGTGCGAGGCTGGTTAGCCTAAGGTCGCTATGTCATCGCATAAGGTCCGTGTCGTCTCGTTGCTCAGGTGCTCGGCTGGTCCCAGGCCTCCAGCGGCGAGGGGCGCCCGTGCCCAAGCGCCCAGGCGCGGCCGACCCTGCCATGGGTGTCGGCTGCAGCGCGGACGATCTGCAGTGCCGCCGCGAGCAGCCGGCTTGCTGCGGCCGCGCCGATGCCGCCGGGGCCCGCGAGCCCGACGCGGCGTGCGGGGAGTACCGGCCCGGCGGGAGGCAGGAGGCCCAGCGGGAGTTCGCGGAGCCCGCCCCGCCGCCGGTCCCAGACATCCGACGAGATGGCTCGTGCGAGGCGCGGCCCCCCAGAGGCCCCGACGCCGTCCCTGGGAGCAGCTTCCTCCCACCTCCTCCTCCTCCTCCTCCTCCTCCTTCTTCCTCCTCCTCCTCCTCCTCCTCCTCCTCCTCCTCCTCCTCCTCCTCCTCCTCTCTCCCTCCTCCCTCCTCCCTCCTCCCTCCTCCCTCCTCCCTCCTCCCTCCTCCCTCCTCCCTCCTCCCTCCTCCCTCCTCCCTCCTCCTCCTCCTCCTCCTCCTCCTCCTCCTCCTCCTCCTCCTCCTCCTCCTCCTCCTCCTCCTCCTCCTCCTCCTCCTCCTCCTCCTCCTCCTCCTCCTCCTCCCTCCTCCTCCTCCTCCTCCTCCTCCTCTCCCTCCTCCCTTTCCTCCTCCCTTTCCTCCCTCCTCCTCCTCCTCCTCCTCCTCCGCCTCCTCCTCCTCCTCCTCCTCCTCCTCCTCCTCCTCCTCCTCCTCCTCCTCCTCCTCCTCCTCCTCCTCTCCTCCTCCTCCTCCTCCTCCTCCTCCTCCTCCTCCTCCTGCCCCCTCTTGCTTCTCCCCCCCTGGGCTCGCCGCCGAGCCTCCCTGTCCCCCCCCCAGATCCGTGGCGGATGGCCCCGCCTGATGAACGGGCCCCGGAGGCCGAATCCAATCGAAAGCGGTTGCACGTCTTTGAGATCCAGG